CTCTCGCTCTCTCTCTCTCTCGCTCTCTCTCTCTCTCTCTCTCTCTCTCTCGCTCTCGCTCTCTCTCGCTCTCTCTCTCTCTCGCTCTCTCTCTCTCTCTCTCTCTCTCTCTCGCTCTCGCTCTCTCTCTCAGATTACACAAACACATTTTAATATTACCACTGACACAAAAATATCACAGAGCTGTACAGAACTCCAACTCTCCTTTTCATACCAGGAAGGGTTGCATTTCATCTTTGATCTTTCCCAGTGTCCCTGCACGTTCACATGTCCTCACATCTTGAGTATAAACCTCCATCCATGTTTGATAACCACTCCATACAGTACTGGGAGCCTATCACAGGAAGTACAGGGCACAGGTATTTGTATACTGGTATCATACTGGTACCATGGAAAATAATCAGAGTCAGAAAACAACATAAACTTCTAAAAAGTTATATTAATTCATTGGTTTTCCCAAATTCTCACTCAGTAAAATACATACATGGTTTAAAAGCTCCAGATCGATTATCCCCAGTAAAGCAATCTTTCTTAATTATTCATACAGATATCTTACATGACAAAAGCTCTACAACTGATGAATTTATACTAATTTTAAAATCAGTAAAAAGAATACATGACTGCATAAACATATTCTTTGACAAAATCATTTTCATTTGACAGAAGGAATCATTTTGGCCAATATGCTAACTAAACCTTTTATTGTCATTTAAATGAATACACACAGACACATATACAGGTGAGAGCAAGCTTCGAGGTCACTGCACAGAAATTTCACGTAAAAACTTACAAAGGTATTGATTTCTATTTTGTTGTTATTTCCACCTATTAATGGCCAAAATACATGATTTATAAGACATATGGAAAATTGTTGTTTTGTTTATTTTCATATTCATTATTTCTACTTCTCACAAAAAATATTAAATACACTAGATGTAAAGAGATGTTAGCTTACTTAGCACAGTTTGGCTTTACTGCACCAAAGTACAAACCCAGGATAGAGGGGCTCAGTGAACGTGGCCTGGACCCTGTGCAGGAGGGTCAGTGTGTCAGAGACGCTGTAGAAGGACAGACTTCCTGCCCTGTGATCCAGGTACACTCCTATCCTGGGGGGAGGGCAGATACTGCAGTTTGCACATTATTGTGCCAGAATGAGTAACTGGAGGTTGAGCAGGACAAACACCAGGACTTGTCATGGAATCCAACTCAGCTCTCGTCACTCCCTCCTTTCCTGCTGATTCCTGTATATGTGACGCCTATAGATCCCACTCCCACAATCCCACTCCACTCAACCTCCCAGTAGAGGCGCCCAGTCAGACCCTCTGTACACAGAACTTGGTAGCATCAAACCTCTCCTGGTGATCTGGATATGACTGGGTCTCTTCCTTCCATGTTACGAATTTGATGTGCTATGCAGATACTTCACTTGCTTATTTTTCACGACCCATTTTGAGGCCCTGAATGGGAAATCTAAATCTTGCCAAACATAAGATGATGTGCTTTTGGTAACTAGAAGGAGACAGAGAGAAACAGGGATGTGAGTAAAAGGAATTTACTTGTGGCAGATGGACGTCACTCACTGTGGAGATAACAGCAGTAGATTATTATCATTATGAGGGCAATTTAAAATGTGATAATCATTCTGAGTGAAATACAGTATAAGTTTATCAAGGTTTTTGTATCATATTGCAGAAACATAATTTCTATGACTTCAATAGGTTTCTGAAAGATTTCATCTTATTGAGATCACACACTGACTTGGTCACTCTCTCTGCATGGTCTGCACTGAACATGGATAGAGTGTACAATGTATTAATTAACCTGCATAATTGATCTCTGTTGTTTTCTTTTCACAAACATTCTCCAGTTGATCCTTCAGTTGAGAAACCACCTTCTTCACATTCTCAAAAGAGCAGTGTGGATGGACAGAGAATCTGGGTCCAAATCCGGCATCAGGGGTGACAGGAAGACCCCGGCACCTCTACAGACACACAGTCTGATTTAACAGCTTCATCAAAACAGATGTGTACTGCAATCAAACTAAAAAGAACATTAATTTCTGAAAAAGGACAAACAATTTGAAATACAAATGAAAACATGCATTCATCTGAATACTCTGGTTTTCTTTTTGCCAAAGTAGCTGTTCTGTTACCTGGAGGAAATGGATGTGATCCTCTGTGTGTGAAAGCTGCTCCAGCTCAGAGTGTCTCCTCTTTAGTTCATCGATCTCCTGCTTCAGTCTCTCCATTCTCTTACGCGTTTGTCTTACCTCTCGTTCCTGCCCTTGTGTGATTCACTCCAGCTGCCTCTCGTTTTGCTCCCTTGTTAGTCCATGTATAAAAGTGCTCCCCAGTCCTGGAATTAATATCGATCCTGCTTGTGACCCATTCCATTTGTAGGGTTCCTTCGTCCCTCGATTTTGATGCCCTGTGATCCAGGGCTCCCAACTCATGCATCTGGTGTGACACTCACGCTTTCTGACTGTCACGCAAGAAATCTTACAGCAAATCTATATTATTCCATCATAAACCTAAAATTTGCTACATCAAAAACATTTGGGTAGTTTGCAAACTCTACAGACTATTTACAAGGTAATAAATCTCTTACATACATGTAAATGCACGTGCAGACTTGTCCTGAATTAAAAATCTCACGTCAGCCAGCTGGCCAAAATTGGTAACCCTGCCATTTCCTATTCCTTTTTGTCTATGTCTGTTAGTTGAATAAAACCCTTTTTGTTTGCCCCATCTCTTGCTCTGACATCCTTCATCCTTTATTGTATGACAGTCTGATACTTGATAATGTTTTTGAGAGTGTGTCACGTTCAGCTCCGAACGCTCCTCGTGTGTGCCACGCCCCTCATTACCTCCTATCGAACCTTGATTGCCGTCACCTGTTCCCTATGTCTTATGTATTTAGTCCTAGTCTCAGTCGGTTTTCCCCAGATTAGTCATTGTATTGTCCGTTAATGTCCATGCCTGTCTCTCCTTTCGTTGCTATTAAAACCNTGTCCTCACATCTTGAGTATAAACCTCCATCCATGTTTGATAACCACTCCATAAAGTACTGGGAGCCGATCACAGGAAGTACAGGGCACAGGTATTTGTATACTGGTATCATACTGGTACCATGGAAAATAATCAGAAAACAACATAAACTTCTAAAAAGTTATATTAATTCATTGGTTTTCCCAAATTCTCACTGAGTAAAATACATACATGGTTTAAAAGCTCCACATCGATTATCCCCAGTAAAGCAAGCTTTGTTAATTATTCATACAGATATCTTACATGACAAAAGCTCTACAACTGATGAATTTAGCAAAAAGAATACATGAAATGTATACAGTACTTTAAATTTATACTTTCTGTATAAATTTTTCCTGAAAGTTGTAGGACCTGCTTGCAAGGTCAGATGTAGGTTAACATCATACCAGGATGAAATAATTGCCGGTTATAGACATTGCTGAAGGGCCCAATGCAGTAGAATCACTCCTGGCATTCACAGAATTTGAACCCCTAGCCTCAGACCCACCACTCTCCCCCACGTACATACATGCACTTAGTTGCCACTTTATTAGGTACAACCAGCTACTACAGAGTAGAACCCCCTTTGCTTCCAGAATCACTTCATGTGTGGATTAGTTGTGCATTCAGAGAAGCCATTCTGCTCACCACTGTTGTACTGCACTGTTACCATTACATTTGAAGCTTCCTGTTAGCTGTAGTTAAGAAGTCTGGCCATTCTCCTCTGACCTCTCTCATTAACAAGGTGTTTTTGCCCACAGAACTGCCACAATCTGGTTGGTTTTGTTTATTGCAGCGTTCTCTGTAAACTTTACACACTGTAGTGTGGGAAAATCCCAGGACGGTGGCTGTTTCTGAGATACTGGAACCACAAGGCTTGGCACTAACAATCACACCATATTTAGAAACTCTTCGCTCACAGAGGGGTACAGATGTGAGGGGGGTGGGACATGTCTCTCCTCCCCCGCAATTATATAGGGACCCTGATCCATCCCAGCCGGTTTTGCTGCAAATTTTTTTTTACAAAACTTTGATAAGTACTATCCTTAAATAGGGTGGATAATAGGGTTTGAACTCATCAAACTGCACCGCATGTGTTTGCTGCAGGTAGGAGTCCCCTCACACACACTCGCATACCTGTGTCTGTGTACATGCTCTCCCTCTGTCTCCCTTTATCTCTCTTTGTAGGTAGACAGAGTAAAATGCACACATTCCTATTAGCCTATACATGGCTTTAATGTTTCACCTACACGATGACCTACCGATTTAAAATCGCACCACTGCATTCATACTCTTTATCTGTTGGCGGACCGTGTCATGTGTAATAGAAATGTGCAAAGAGCATCATATCGCTCATTGTCTAGTTGTCTTTATGGAACATTTTTGTTTTATTTTTCACCAACAATAATTTTAAAAGCATTTGTCCTAGTTTTTGTCATTGAAGGTGCCTTTTTATTTAGTTTTGTTCCGTTTTTGTCACAGATAAAATGTCATTGAGAAGTAATTTTTATCTTAGTTTTAAATTAACACTAATAACACTTAGTAGTCCTACATTCAAAAATTCTTGTAAAAACTGTGGTGTTCTGTAAGACCACTAGAAATCAGGAATAATGTTGCTGTCTATACATCTTTAAAAACTTGTATGCACGCTTGTAATTGGATAACACTAGTTTGGACACCATCAGGAAATCATCATGTCAGGAACAATCCTGCTCCACTCCGCTATGTCGGCCAACACACTTCTGATTCTCTTACGCGTTTGTCGTACCTCTCGTTCCTGCCCTTGTGTGATTCACTCCAGCTGCCTCTCGTTTTGCTCCCTTGTTAGTCCATATATAAAAGTGCTCCCCAGTCCTGGCATTAATATCGATCCTGCTTG